ATACAGACATACAATTTAATGTGCCCCTAGGCAAGAGCTTTCTTCAGCACAAGTGCATTTGTTGCCGCGGCTGTGCCTGATTGGCACGGAGGGTTTATATCCAAGATGCCTATCGCCGAGCCTGTTGGGCTTTGCAGGAAGTGTACGGCTTCATTATCCAGCTCACTAATTGAAACTCCCACAAGTCCATCTTGTTTGGCGTGAGCACATCTTGTCTACAGATTGTTTATCAGGGAGAAGAGCTGCAAAAATTGCCAGTCTTTGTGTGCTAGATATTATAATTCAACAGGGCTTGTTGTGCGATCAAATTCGAGCATCACAATAGCTAAAAGGGGACCTGCCCCCTCAACACTGGATGCAGGGCTTGTAGGCACAGGCGTTTCTGAAGTAGTGACCTCACTGCGGCGTGATGGATGATGTCATGTCACAATATTGCGCTGGATTTTCTGGTGGTTTGGGAGAATAGCTCCTGATTTCCTCATTCTGGTTACTTTTGCTCTAAAATCCTTCTTTTTTTGTTTTTTTTCCTTTCACTGTACATTGTTACTCTGAATTTATAATGAAACAAATACTCTGTTTTATAAACATTGCCGCTGGGATCCTGCGTAGATTTCTGCCGGGTGACGTTCACTTGGAGTTCATAAGTCTTATCTGCATTTCTTTGGATTCTCTCCCGCAGCCAAAGAATTGTGTTAAAGACAATAGACCGTAGGCTCCTCTTGGGCGGGGACTAATTATGATTGGTAAAGGGCTGCGTAATATGTCTGATGTTTTATTAATTCTGAACATAAAATATTTGGACTGGTAGCTCGTGTAGCAAAAACAAATCACAGACTCTCTCCCGAGCCTCTTCTACCGAGCTCTGCGAAGGTTCTCGTCTCTTAGTTTGGTTGGACCTACCCCCAGTTTAAGGTTGGATTGTAATGTGCTGTAATATTGTGATTGGTGGATGCGGGCCACTGAAGCATTGCAGTGTTCACAGGAATTGTGGCTTAGTTTAAATGGGCCACCTCCAGTTGGGGTTGGTCTGTAAGAAACCACGTTCATCTGCTATAATACTGTGAT